ATGACAATATGTAGGATCGATTCTGTCACATTGCTGGCTATTCTACATCCCAAATCTCTTTCTCGTAGTTCTGCCTAAGCATCACTTGATCTTATATCACTACTGCCAACACTCCAAGATAGGCAAATCACTTGTCCGGATCGATCCATCAGGCACCTAAGGGTCAGCACAGTAGCGCCAGTGAAGGACTTTCTTGCTCCATTCACCAAGTCATGATATTATACTTCTTTTCTCAACCAAGTTATCGCTCTAACATACGTTTAGCTGTGTACCTCCTTTGTCCTTTGTGTACCTCTTCTTCAACCATGTCTCTATGTAAAAAGAAAGTATGCAAGAATTCTTTCCTTTTCTTTTGCAAAGATCAGTAATGTTCAGCTGATCGTGGCTGCCGTTCCTACTTGGTATATAAATCTGGCTACAGATGATCTCTGATAACGTTTGCGGAAATGCTTCAGTGAAAAGCCTAGTACTGACACTTTGATCAACATAATCGAAAAAAGTCTTCAACCATTTCAGAATGTCATAAGTACGTGCTGTCATTAACATAGCGCAGATATTGACGGCGTTGGTGTTATTTATGGAACAAGGTGGTGTTTTCAGGGCCATAATGAATAACTGTGCTTATTCTTAAACTTAATCCGGGTTGCAAAATTCATCTCGGCCTTTAACCATGTTTATTTTCAGGATGTTATGCAGCACTACAATCCGACTAAATTAATGATAGTCATCTTCAGGCCGTGTACGATCAAATGCAGAGCGATGTTGCACCAAATATTTCAGATTTGCTTGTTGTATAATCTTACTTTACATCATCGGATCAAGGTTATCATTTATTCAGTCAATTCCTCCCATAACAACCTGAAAGAAAATGTCCCTATAAGTCATGGTAACACTGTTAAGTATCGCATATCTCCTTCGATAACGCCATTCACTCCACGTTACTCCTAGTTGCGTTTGGAAGGGCATTTCAGCAAGCCAGGCTCTATGGTATTTCAGCGCCTACAGTGCCACATGCATCTCGCATCAGTTTGTTTACCAGAGCCAGCTCGCGCAACCCAAAGAAGGATGTTTCAAGTGCTGCTATTTCATATATGCTGCTGCATACACGTCAAAATGTGTTGGTACGTTTCTTCAGAGTATAAGACTCTTCCAAGACGCAAGAGAAGCTGTCTGGCGATTGACGAATGACTGAAAAATTGCATTGATCTCGCACTACTTCAGCTGAGGATCTGACAGCTAAGTCCCGGTATTTGTTACAACAATATATCACACTTGATAAACGAAGAGCTCTGTACGTGGATAATCGTAGATTTTCATAGGAGCTTCGAAACAATTTTCAGCACCACGATTTCACTGAACAAAAGATTTGCGTAACTATGAGCTTTCAAAGTTTCTGCATTATGTGATTCCAAAAATCGTTTCAAGACTCTTATAGCGTAAGGAATATCATACTCTGCATAAAGATTAAAACCTTAGCAGGATTACTGTCACACCAGACTACTGTTCTCAATCCAACTGTTTCATTTGTAGATAGTTAAATGACCAAATCAGCTACGAGCGTCACTGCAGCCATGACCCAACGACGTGAAGCGTTTTTCAAGACAGAGGCTCGGTCAACAAAGTCACAGAATATCGTCGACGATGCGACTTCGAAAAGACATTCGTCTGACAAAGAAATGTTGACAAACAAAGTTCAGGACGAGAACAACAACTATATGGACAGTATTACTTTCTTGATGACTAGGAAGGATACTGAACCTGCAAATCGTCATCGTTCGAGAAGATCGCGCGGTTCCTCTGTATTGGAGGTGAATCAGTACGTCGGCTTTGCGAGCATCGTCGAACAGGTGTACAGCAAATCAGTTCGAAGGGGATTTCAGTTCACACTTATGGTTGCCGGCGACTGCGGCATGGGAAAGTCAACGTTCGTTAACAGTCTTTTCTTCGGGGATATACTCAACGGCGAGTACTGGCGTAAAGGCGGTGAGCACCATCAGATTTCGGAGCAGACCGTAGTACTGTATGAGAACGGAGTGCGCCTGACTCTGAACGTGGTTTACGTGAACCTCGACCACGGCGTTGTGGCCGATCATCAGAGCCGATTCTCGCCAGTCATCGAACACATCGACCGGCGAATGTTGGAATACTTCGACGCAGAAACGGCGATTGACCGCAGTAGTGACCTGTGCGACCGCAGAGTGAATTGTTGCCTGTATTTTGTTCCGCCTACCGGCCACGGACTGCGGCAGGGGGACGTCGAATTCATGAAGCAGTTGCACAACCGCGTCAACCTGATCCCGGTCATCGCCAAGGCCGACACCATGACCGTTGACGAGTGCGCAAAGATGAAAGCCGAGGTAGCGCGTGAAATCGAGCAGCAGCGCATAAAGATTTACCGGTTCCCGGAAGTTAGCGACAAAGATGAAACTTTTGCCGCCGAGCAGAAGCAGTACCTGCAGAGGATGCCTTTCGCGGTCATCGGCACCAGCCACGTCGAGGAGTTTGATGGAGCCAAGTCTCGCTGCAGGAAGTACCCATGGGGCACGGTTCAGCTGGAGAATTTGGAGCACAACGACTTTGTAGCATTGCGAAGCATGATACTTCGCTACCACATGATCGACTTGATTCAGGTGACCAACGATGTTCATTACGAGAACTTCCGCTTCCGACATATGAGCCTTTCGGGAGAAATCAACGTCCAACAAACGGAAATTCACCCGCTTATGCTGATGGACAGGGAGAGGAAAGAACAGGAGAAGCGCATAAAGCAGAAGCTGATTGAGATGGAGACCGTATTTCAAGAAAAGACTGAAGAACGCGAGCGCAGGCTGAACGAGAAGGAGGCTTCGTGCAAAACAAACATTGAAAGTGTGAAACAAGCGATTGAGAAGCTCAGGAAAGACATAGAGGAAAGGCGCAAAAATCTCAGGGACGAGCAAACGCAACTCGAACAATCCTACCCTGAATTCAAACGTTACAGTTCTGTTGGAACGCTTAAAGAAAAGACAAAAAAATTTCTTTCGTTATCGTAGTTTCTTTCGCAAAATTTCGTCAATCACTTTTCTATATTGTTTCTGTTGTTTTCATTGGCATATTGAGGAAATAGTTGTAAAAGTGCCGCAGCGCTTACGTTTCGTGCAATTTTTTGGAAGGCTGGGAGGAAGATATTTGCCTCGTTGAAGAATTCTTGTTCTTTGTAATTAAAAGTTATGCTTTCGTTCAGCTGAACTGTACTTAATGTTCTACAAATCACGCTTCCTGCCCAAATTCAGGTAGTGGGTTAACAGCTGAAGCAAGAGCCCACATGAGCAGGCGAAATTTAGAGAAGTCTACTAATGCTTCTCGTGCAACTGATAAGAACCCGTTAAAGGAGCAGTGAAAAGGAGCAGTGATAATCACGGGCCTGCTAACGCCTCTTCAAAGGTGGCTGATATTGCTCGTCGGAAGAGTGTTGGACTAAAAACCCAGGGATCCCGGATTCGATTATCGATTGGATCAGTGATTTAAGTTTCTTCCTTCGGATATTGACAAACAAGCAGCACGATGATGGAAGGAAACGGAACTATACACTACGCTCGCCACAGAGCCGCTATCGGTTCTGTCCTTGAAATAAGGCACTCATGGCCGGCAGCATGGAAATGGAAACAATTGACCTCATGAAAAAGGAGGCGCCAAAAAGAGCCCCGTCCTGCAAACGTATACATGCCAACGGTTACAAACTATCCTTACTTACTCTGCTACCTCACCTTTGACGTGGCATGACAATAAGAGTTCGAAACTTTGTGTTACGTCAGTTAACGTGTAGGAATAACGCACAGTACTCATCGCTATGAAGATGTGACTGGATCATTAGGTTTCTGAAAAAATGTTAAAGGTACGGTCGGCTCACGCGAAAATAATTAAGAACCCCGCAGCAGGTATGTTTCGTGCTTCCGACGACCCGAAAAAGCCCTCGATGCCAAAACTGCTTCATTTGTCATCATTCATTCAATCATCCGTCCATCCTTTCATTTGTTCATTTTTATGCTCCGTTTGGCATCGGCATTTGCTACGCCCTTCCAATGATCCAGGTATGCCGCTAAACGTGCAAATGAATGTTCTGGATGAAGCGCAGCTAGATGAAACTAATCTCTTTAATCTTATGCCGCCAGTCTTCGTTTTTTAGAAAAAAGCATATGCAATAAAAGAACCCTCTCAATGAAACCACCACTTTCACTCTTGGCAGCGATGCACAGCGTGTAGAAAACTGAAAGGCAGGTCTGGATTATTGCATAATACTCACATAGGTGCAATTATTTGACTATTGCAATGTAGAGGGCATTCATATTAATGAACTTCATAAGCGGGACACCTATGAAACTCTTAATTCCTACGTCAAGTTCAGTATTCTGTTATGCAGCATGTCTGTATTAGAGAAGGAATGCCAGATCCTGATGAACGGAATGGGAGCGATATTTAGAGAACTTTTCCAACACAAAGAACGACGTTCTTATATCACGACCTGAGACCCCAAGAAATAGTTTCCTATCTGTTTGAAGGAAATCTTTTTGTTTACAAGTGAATTCTGTTTTTTATCATCGATCAAAGGAAATAAACTGTGCAAAATAAATAATTAACAATTAAATCCGATTTGGCGTTTCCTATTCCTGGTCAGTTGTTGAAAGTGGAGCTGTTTTATTGATTCATGCTTGAGGGTACTAAGCTACAGAAATTGCAAGCTTTTTGCCGAAGCGCTTCGCTACCACAGCTAATAAGGTCTACGTAGATGCTTAAATGAAGTCAACAACTACAAACATGAATATTAATAAAACACAATAATCAATCTAAAATTAATATAATCATTGAGATTAATTAATGCTTCCCGTGCCTTGCTTGCCTACGAGGCAGAAAGGCTACAACTTGAGAGTAAGTCAAGAACGCCCTTGACTATGCATGGAATTGTACATCCGCGAGCAGATATTTACTTCCTGTA